TCCTATTAAGGTTTTAACAAGACATGTTCCTTGTACAATGGATATTCAAGAAGTGCTATGAAATAATGAATGTCCATTTCATATTCTCATTACTCATTATTGTTAATGTGATTCAATTCATCATTCAATATGAGAAATTAAAAAGGTGATGCAAATTATCAATGTGTATATAGAATATTGTAATCTTTTTTCTTCACAAAGATTTTTTTTCATTGGGTTTTTTCCTAATAAGGTTTTAACAAGTCATATTCCTTATACAATCGATATTCAAAAAGGAGTGCTATGAAATAATAAATATCCATTTCATATTTTCATTACTCATTATTGTTAATGTTATTTAATTCACCATTCAATATGAGAAATTAAAAGGGTGAAGCAAATTATTCAATTATTTATATATTATTAATGGTTTATAGTCTCTTTCAATTCTCTTTCTAATCTTAAATCTTATAAATAAGCTTGATTGTTTATTATTTTATGTGCATGCATTTTGTAGAAATTGAAAGAATTATTTAAAGTTGTTATCTTTTGTATTCAATTTATTTTATAGTGAATTTATTTTTCTATTATATTTTTCTTTAATTCTACTATTATTACCATTTTTATCATAACATATGCTTTAATTTGACAAATTCGATGATAGCATGAAAATAGAAAGTTACAAAAATTGGAACATTCCATTTTATTTGGTGAGTTTGGCTAACTCCCACCTTGATCCAACATTACTTTTAGCAACAAACCTCGAATGAGACTTAAAATCTATAAATTTATCAAATGTGATGTAAAGCATTTAATTTTCAAGTTACATTGATATTTGATTTTTTTAGTTCGGTTTTGTATTATTTTGATTCTATTTTCGATTAACCAAATTTTCAAAAACTAAAATCAAAATTTTATTCGATTTTTCAGTTAAAAATTAAATTTACGAGTTTTGGTTTTTAGTTAATTCGATTTTAATCATTTTTTTATAGAATTTTTAGGAAAATATAACCTTTTAAAATGGGCTTGTTTAGTCTTACTTTTGACTCACGGACTTTTTAGCAAAATACGCCTTTTTTAGCATAAAGCCTCTATCACTAACTCTTTGAATAGTATGTTGATGTGTTCTATAATTTATGCAAATTGCAAAGAATTATAATTGGTTTGTGGGACTCAATAGACGGATAATAAAAATTCATATTCTAAATAATTAAAAAGTAGAAGTAGATAAAAATTCATTTTTGGCACCAATTATGTGGTCGATTCATCACAAAAATACTAGGAAACCACACACTTCCTTTCGAAATACAATAGAACGATATTTTTCGGACAAGAGCATAGCTCCTACAATCAACATTGCACTTCAAGAAGAAAATTTTCAAACAACCCAAATCCCAAAATGCACCAATTTAGTTTCTAATTCACTCATACCTTAGTTACATCATGCCAAAAACATCAAACCTTAAATATTGTGTTCCACTCTTAGCGACGAATGTATGCCAAAAAAATCTCTCTAAATTCAATATTCTACATCATAATTAGGCTTTAATGAGTAAAAACTAAACATAAGAAATACTAGAATATGAATTGTTCATATGAAAAATCAATCATAAAAAACAACAAAGAAGTTAAGATCTAAATTAAATACATCAAAAATCAATGATAAAAAGACATCAAAGAAAGGAAAGGTCTTGAGAGGGAGAAAGGATGGCCATTTGATAATGAGAACCGAGAGGTTGAGAGTTTAAGAGGCGAAGGGAAGATCGTTTAACAAAGAGGCCGAGTGCTTGAGAGGGTGGAGGAGGGAGGGCTAAGAGACGGGGAGAGGTTGAGAGCTTGAGACTTGAGAGGGAGGGAGGACTCGAAGAGGGAGGGCTAGGAGGCGGTTGTATTTAGAGGTTTTTAATTTTTGTGTTTCAAAAATCAAAATTGGTATATATAGTAAATAATAATAATTTGGTTTTTACCAAATCAAAAAAATTAAAAACCAACCCAAATCCAAAAAATCAAAATAATTTCTTTTTAAAACTTTTACAAAAAAAAAAAAAAAGAACCTAATTTTGAGAAAAAAAAAAGATCAAAATTCACAAAAAAACAATATATATTTTTTTTAAACGGTGATGGTACCTTAGAAATATATTGGTAATCGAGCAAATAGACAAAGGGGACAAACTAGCCTCATCCAACGATTTGAAGAACAAGGAAGCCTCAACCCCCGAAAATTTTTAGAAAAGTTCCCGAAAACTACAATAAACAATGTTTTGCATAGCATACTTATGAGCTATAAAATAAATTCCCAAGCGATACCGGACTAACAAATAGATGCTAGGAATAGTTGATAGGCTGGACGAAAGTTGAACAATCCCAATCGTCGTCTGTGAACGTTGAGCGACAAGGGATAGGTAATTCATTGGTCCTAAACATCACCTTACAAGATTTATGTTGAAAGGCCCAAGTTGCTAATTTGTTTGCTATCATGTTACCTTTTCCGTGAATATGGTGAATATACATTCCTTCGGTGATATGTTTCTAGCATTCTCTAAAAATGTATGTAAGGTTCCATGGACACGCCAATGAATGAGCTAAACCTCCCATGATTACCGTCGAATCACCCTCTATGATGTCAAATAACGAGTGAAACCTTCACGACCTTTATTTTATTTTATTTTATTTTAATGCAAACTTCAATCTCCATCATAAAAAAAAAATCTCTAACTTTGACGCTTTTTAATTTTAATATCATGCTCTAAACCGTATAAGTCATGAGAAAACATCAAAATCAAAACTCTCTCTCTCTCTCTCTCTAAAATAAATAAATAAATAAAAATTGGTTGAAGGTTTAACGAAGATAGAGCTATAATTGTTTTGCTTCCTTTTCATTGTCAATAGTTTTAAGGTGAAGTGATGGTTTAAAAGGAAAGGGTTTAATGACAAAAATTGTTTCCAAATTGTTAGATTTTGGCAATTTTAGATTTTTACTACCAATTTAGATTAATTAAACCTCCAAACTATTTTTTTTACAAATATAATCCTTATTTGTTATTTTTAAACCATTTGGCCATTAACATTTCGAGTATTTTTAGTTATTAACTTGATCAAAATATAGTCTACAAGAGATTGAATAACGACTATTTGTTAGATTTCAAAATTAATAACACTCAAAAAAAGTAAAAATATAGAAAATAAAAATGCATATATTTAAATAAAAAGTATAAATACTCAACTAAAAATAAAATAAAATATTTATACTCACGCGGTGGATAGATGAGTATGTCGATGTGTCGGTTTAATTGTTATATCAGCATGAATCTAATAAAAAAAATTGAAAATTACATTAATGGCATGTCTTTTGTATTAATTAGATTGTTGTTAATGTAAATTTTTAATTTTTTTCTAATCAATTTTTTTGTTGTTAAATTCATGCTGATATAATTATTAAATTGACAAGTAAGCATGTTGACATGTCCACCAAATGAGCATTAATATTTTATTTTGTTTTGTTTTTAATCGAGTATTTGTATTTTTTTTATATTTAAATATATGTATTTTTATTTTTTCTATTCAATTATTTATAGTTTAATTTTTTTTTATAAGTGTTGTTAATTTTGAAATCTAACAAATTATTACTATACAATCTTATGTAGATCATAATTTGATCAAGTTACCTAAAGCTAAAACCAAAACTAAAAAAAAAAACTATAATGTTAATGGTCAAAGAATTGGCCATTAAAAATAATAGGTGATAATTACATTTGAAAAAAAAATAGTATGGGGTTTAATTAATCTAAATTAGTAACAAAGGTCTAAAAATGCCAAAACCTAATTTTTTTATAGCAATTTTTGCCATTAAACCGAAAGCAAGAAATTCAAATTTTTCTTTTTCAATTTCTTTCTTTTAACCTGTTGCAGGCCATCAAATGATTTTATTATATAACGTGAGCGCAAATAATGAGATATACTAGCTATTTATAGGATCTTCCTTTATTTATTCCAATACAAAAATTAATTAGCCTCATTAACTTTTTATCGCGCCAATATAAACAGAAAAAATTATATAAATTAATCTTAGAAATTGAAATTACATTTAATATATATAATGTCATTATGCAACTAATATTTATGAGAAATTCGGTGAAATTTTTTTCAAAATTTCGATAAAATTCTTGGGAAAGAAATTAACAATTATAATTTTAAAATCGTTGTATTGTACATGACTTTTTTCAAAAAATAAAAATAAAATCATCACATCAATTTGTATCAAAAATTTATATGTTTGTATTGGCTTTTCTCTATTTTTCATTTTGTTTTATCCCTATGAGATAGCCTTGTCGCCACCAATTTGTTTTGGCCAAATCGTAATATTCTAAATTTTAGTAGTGATTTGACATGACGTTTTACACAGAGGACTGATTTTACAGTTCCCAAAAATTACTTTTAACGTCACCGTCTCGCTTTAAAACTGAAAAAAAAAAAAAAAAAAAAAAAAAACTCGAATCTGATCTTCTCTGTTTCTCTATCTACGGAAATGTTTTAGACTGCAAAGATTCAATCTTGAGCTCGATCCTGCCTTAGAAAATCTCACACGGTAAGACTCGTCTCTCGCCTTTCCAAACCCTAACACAGCTTAGCTTTCTTGCTTCCTTCTCATGATTGGGATTTGCTTTATCTTGTGCTGTATTTGATTTCTAGGGTTTCACAAAAAAAGAAGAAGAAACTTTTACGATCCTAGGGTTGTTTCAATCAGCTGTAGATTTTTAATCTGGGTCTTTTTTTCTTTACATGTTTAATATAAATTCTGGTGGAAATTATTGCCCCATGAATGAAAATCATGAAAAGACAGAAAACACTTGATTTTTTTAGCTGCATATTGTGATTGAAAGAGCTAAGAAATTTTTCTTTTGATTACCAATTCATGCTGTTGTATTACTTTCTTTTGCATATTTGATTGGGTTATAGATAGTTGGAGTAATACTTGGAGACTGATTCTGGTGGTACTCTCAGTGTAGTGTATTGGGAGGACGATGGCTGATTTAGAAAATTTGCTGCTGGAGGCAGCGGGAAGGACTGGGAAATCGGGAAGAAACAGGAATGCATTGCCTCCATCCAGGAGGCGAAAACGGGAGGGTTCATATTCTGATGGTGGAAGTGATTCTAGGGATGATGATTCAGATGATGATCGTGGGTATGCGAATAGGAAGCCATCTGGGTCTCAAGTGCCTTTGAAGAAGAGATTGGAAACTAATGAGAGGGATGATGAGGTGGGTAGTCAGGAGGAAGGTGACTATGATGATGGTGGTTCGGATCGTGAGGGTGAGAGTAGTGATGGATCAGATATTGGTGATGATCTTTACAAAGACGAGGATGATCGGCAGAAGCTAGCTCAAATGAGTGAACTTGACAGGGAGTTGATATTGGCAGATCGAGCAGACAAGAAAGGGGATAAGCATTTGACTGAGAAGATTAGATCGAAAAGGGATAATGATAAGCCAACCCGATCTAGAAAAGAGACTCCGCCTCTTCCATCGTCTCGTGGAGTGCGTTCATCAGCTAGGTCTGCTGACAGGGCAGCTGCAAAAGATGATGCATTGAATGAATTGAGAGCGAAACGATTAAAGCAGCAGGACCCAGAGGCTCATCGCAAGTTGAGGGATGCATCTAGAGGATCTGCTGGCAGTCGGGGTTTTTCACAAGTAAAGAAGAATAATTTCACTTCAGCAAGTCTGAGTAGCTCCAGTAGTGAGAGTGGAAGTAGGTCTCACAGTGAGGATGAAGGGTCAACAGGTGATGGTGGAATGGCAGACAGTGATGATGATGGGGAACCTGGGTCTCATGGGCCATCTTATGAAGATATAAAAGAAATTACGATTCGGAGAACAAAACTTGCAAAATGGTTTATGGAGCCTTGGTTTGAAGAATTGATTATAGGTTGTTTTGTGAGGGTTGGGATTGGTAGGTCGAAGACTGGGCCCGTGTACAGGCTCTGCATGGTTCGGAATGTTGATGCTGCTGAACCTGACAAGCCATACAAACTGGAGAACAAATCAACTTATAAGTATTTGAATGTTACTTGGGGTGCTGACAGCTCTGCTGCCAGGTGGCAGATGGCTATGGTTTCTGATTCTGGACCAACCGAGGAAGAGTATAAACAATGGGTTAGAGAGGTGGAGCGTGGTGGTGGCCGTTTGCCAAGCAAACAGGATATCTTGGAAAAGAAGGAGGCCATAAGAAAGTCAAACACTTTTGTGTACTCGGCAGCCACGGTGAAGCAGATGTTGCAGGAGAAAAAATCTGCCTCATCAAGACCATTAAATGTTGCTGCTGAGAAGGACAGGTTGAGGAGGGAGTTGGAAATTGCACTAAGCAAGCATGACGAGGCAGAGGTGGAGAGGATCAAAGCAAGAATTCTGGAACTGGATGCTTCTCGGCAGGCTAAGGTGAAAGATGCTAAGGCTATTAGGTTGGCAGAAATGAACAGAAAGAACAGAGTTGAGAATTTCAGGAATGCGTCCGAAATGAAGCCAATAAATACAGGTCTAAAAGCTGGGGAAGCTGGGTATGATCCATTTTCAAGGAGATGGACCAGGTCAAGGAATTATTATGTTTCAAAACCTGCTGGAGAAGATGACACTGTTGCAGTGACAAATAGTGAGGCAAATGACACAGTGGCAGTTGTAGATATTAATCAAGTTGTAGCTGGTGGAGTGGCCGCTACAGCAGCTGCCTTGGAAGCGGCAGCTGATGCTGGGAAGTTGGTTGATACCAGTGCTCCTGTGGATCTAGGCACCGAGTCAAATACAATGCATAACTTTGAGCTTGAAATCTCACTGATTGCACTGCAGAAGTTTGGTGGACCTCAGGGTGCTCAGGCTGGGTTCATGGCTAGGAAACAGAAAATAGAAGCAACTGTTGGATGCCGAGTCCCTGAGAATGATGGGAGAAGACATGCTCTGACCTTGACGGTTGGTGACTACAAGAGAAGAAGAGGGCTTCTCTGAAATGCAATGGTGCACCAAGGAGTATCTACTTATTAACTAACAGCCTTAGTTTCACGGTTTTCAACAAATCTGTTAGTGTTAGTGAGGAGCTTATTGCTGGTGGTTAATTGTGAAACCATTGTATTGATAAACATTTGCTCTCATTTAGTTCAAAATCTTTAGTAAGTGTGATTGGCCTTGTGTTATGTACTTTGATGGCTCCAATGCACGATTTTCTGAATGTTAAAAGAGTTTGAGGACAAGATTAATGCATTTCAGATTTTGCTGGCATAAAATTTACGTAATTTTAGCCATGTTTGTTGTTTTCCTTGAGATTAAACCGTCTTGTAGGTGGGATCGTTCCAGGTCTAGCATTTAAGCATGGGTTTTGCATCCTTGGTGAACGGTTTAATGACAATTTTTACTCTCATTTATTTAAAAAAAAAAAAAAAAAACGGTTTAAAAGAGGGTTTTAAAATTAAGTAGGATTAGCTTAGGGAGATAAGTCAGACGATCTAACCCAACATCTGCAAAATTGTCGGGGAGAGAGAGTAAGGATTTTGATTGCAAATGTTTGTTTTGTAATTGAATTGAAAGGTATAGAGAGGAGAAAGATAATGTTAGGGTTTGTTGGATTTTTTTTCAATCGGATTGAATTCGGGGTAGAAAAATGATTTTTGGAATTTTCAATTTTTGAAATCTTCTTCAAATTTGGTTTGCAATTGTGAGATTTCATGGCTTTTCATTCTTCTTCTACTTTTACTTTAAATCACCAAATGCAAAAGCATAGGTGATAAAGTAGTGTGTCGCATACTTGTTTTTTGTGTATTATCAAATTTACAAGTGAAGTGTCGAATTCAGCTTTAATATTGCATATTGGAGAAGAGTTTGTTCAAAATCTTGATTTGAAATACATTGGTGGGGTTTATGAGATTAAATTGGTTAACGAGTAATTATTTTTCCTTTCTATCCTTGAAACAAGTTGTTAGAAGTTATTGATGGATTTATCCCGAAAAGATACATTGCGAGTTTTGAGAAATAGAGATACATTAAAAACTCGGTTAATTTATGTGTATGATGAAGCATTTTTGTTTTCATAGTTGGATGATTTTATCAAGCAAGGAAATATGAAGGTTTTTTAGGGTCCGAATGGTGAGGGCAATAATGGTATTGGGCTTAATGATGTTGTTATTTCTTATGAAAATAAAGGTATTTATGCAACTTGTGAAAAAGAGCAATTTAATAATGTATATGGTTGTAGTGGAGAACATGGGCGTGCTAACACCCAATACAAGTGTGAGACATGCTTTTGAAAGCATTGAGGTAGGGCTTGTGTCAAATGACATCACGAGGGAAAATGATGATAAAGTAAAGGGAAACACTTAAGGGTTACGAAATGATAGGGATAGTTATGATAGTGTATTGGAGCTTGGATGGTAATGTAGAATTGATTAATGTGTCGTAGCTTACCGGTAATGATAATGAAGAGTTAATTGTTACTAGAAATAATTTTGTAGAGTTAAGAGATGCGAGAAGTAAAAAAACACATCATTACTATCCTAAATGCACCACCAAATGATACTCCATAATCAAATAGGCAAAGATCTAGGAGTAATGCTACTAGAGGAGTGGATTTTGGTGCAGGTTAAGTTTGATTCATATAAAGACGAAGTCATGAATCAAGCAATGATGATGATGATGAGGAGACAGATTAGGCTATGAGAAAGAAGTCCAAAACTATGTATTTTGATGACACCGTTAAAGATCCATAGTTTACACTTGACATGGCTTTTAAAAACAAACAACAAATCATCCAAGTCTTTAGAAGATCATTAGTGGCTAAGATAAGGAATATTGAATTTGTTAAGCACGATAGACAAAGAGTAAGAGCAAAGTGTAGTGATAAGAATTGTCAATAGGTTTTCTATGCAAAATATAAAAAGCATACATGTAACTTTGAACTTAAAACATATAGATTAACATACTTGTTAGGTTGTATTTATGAATAGAAGGATTAAGTCGAGAGTTGTTGTAAAGTACTTCATCAACAACTTTGGTATTGCTTTGAAAATGGATAAAAAGGATGTGAAAACACAAGTAAGAGAGAAATTATACTCTAACATAAGTCTTGACCAAACTAGAAGAACAAAGGACATGATATGTTGTAACATAAGTCCCGACCAAGCTAGAAAAACAAAAGAAAGGATAAATAGGCATTTTCATAGTGATGACGAGTGTTGAGTATGCAATACTACAAGATTACTTTGAAGAGTTGAAGATGAGTAACAAAGGAAGCACCATTGAAATTTAGTTTACCAAGCCTAGTGTTGGGGCTAATCCGAGTGTTCAAAGCTATCTATTTTGTTTTAATACACTTAAAAAAGGATTCAAGGTAGGATGCGGGCTTATTCTTGGAATGGATGGATGTTTTTTGAAAGGAAAGTATAAAGGTGAGATCTTAATTGTTATGAGAAGAGATGAGAATAATCGGATATTTCTTTTGATCTAGGTCGTAGTTGATGGTGAAAATCAATACACTTGAAAATGGTTTATTGAGCACTTGATGAGAGATCTTGATATATAGTTTGTAAATGGCAACGAGTTGGACATTGATGACTAAACAATAAAAGGTTAGATTTTTATATTTGTTGAATAATTTAATTAAATTATGTACTTAATTATATATTTTCATTTGTAGTTTGTAGTTTGTAGCATGTAAATAACAAAGCAATCATTACAATGTTGGAAGAAATTAGGATGACGGTAACAACAAAAATAATGAAAAGGAGGTAGTTTAGTTAGGTTAGGTTCAAGGGAAATTATGGACCAAAAAGGTAAAAGATTGAGGAGCAAAGAGAGTTGATTCATACAACTAAAATAATATGGAATGGTGATGACAATTATAAAGTCAATCAATTTGAGGAAAGATATCTTATTGATATGCCTTATAGAAAGTGAAGTTGTATGTTGTGGAATATCGAGTGGAATTCCTTGTGTCCATGCAATGTGTGTACTTGGAAAGAAGCCGAAGATTATTCAGCCTATTGGTATACGAAGGACACATTTATGAAGTGTTACTAATTTGCATTGTAAGTTGTTAATGGGCCTAAGTTTTGGGAGAAAAAAGGATTTGATCTTGTTGACCCTTCATCACTAAGGAAGAAGAGCTGGTAACATGAAGAATAAAAGGGTTAAAGAGAAATAGAAAGCAAAAAATGGAGGGAGGAATTTATCAAGAATGGAAAGCTGTGGTTTATTATTCCTAATGTCATAAAAGATGTCACAATTCAAGGACTTGCCTAGAGAAGAAAAAGAGGTTGTTAATTTTATTTTTTCTAATTTTTTTTGTAAATATAAGTGTATTAAATATTATATTAATAACTTTAATTTTTTTATTTTCTTTTTTATTACGGGATGGGAAATAGGTGTTTTACCTTCTGTTGCTCCAAGTGAAACAATAGTAAAAAATATCCCAAATGATCAAGTGTCGACACAAGAGGGTATTCAACACGGGAATCAAGAACAAGTGCTACATCCTAGGAACCCGGAAATAAAGGACTTGTTAGGTACACATGTGGCTTATATGTGAATCATGATATAGGATTTTTAATTTGGAATTTAAGTTAAACACATATTTGATTTGTCATTATTTTGTAATTTCTTTATGTATGATTTACATTATTGTTTGCTTGGTTATAACAAAGTTTTATTGTTGTTTGTAATTTTTATAGCTTGAAACATGCATTTCACAAGTTATAAATTCAAACACTTAACCTCCAAATGAACAAGAAAATCAATAAGAGCTTGAACTTGAACCAAGAAAAAGGGTAAGAAAGACAAGTAATCCACCTGTCAAAACAAAAGAAAGATCGAGAAAGAATCAACACTAAATATATGATGTTTAAGAACGAAATAATGACTTATGTATTTTGAATAGTTAATTATATTTAATGGATCCATTTTTTTAATGGATGATAATTATGTCTAGTGGATGATGTTTGACTAATTTTGTTGCTAATGGATCCAAATTTAGTTATGTTTGTGTCTTGTTCTTTTTTGAGTGAATATGTTCATTTTCATGATTTAATGATAATTGAATGAATGTTCTTCAATTCGGGGAATTATGAATGGCAATTATATGTAATGGATGATGTTTGACTAATTTTGTTGTTAATGGATCTAAATTTAGTTCTGTTTTTGTCTTATTCGTTTTTGAATGAATACGTTGTTCATGATTTAATGATAATTAAATAAATGTTATTTAATTCTAGTGAATTTGTTGCCATGTTTGAAAAATGATTTGTCTTGCATATTTGTTCTTCAATTCTAGAAAATTGAAGTAATCTCCAGAATTGAAGAACAATCTTCATAAGTATTGGTTTAATCGATTTGTTCTTTAATTTCGAAAAATTGTAGTTTCGTAAAATTGAAGAACAATCGTAGAATTCTGAAAAAAAGTTCTTCAATCTCCAGAATTGAAGAACAATTCTAGAGAATTGAAGATCAACTCATTCAATTTTGCAAAATTGAACTTTAATTCAAGAGAAAGCAACACTTTTTTGTTTTAAACTAACCCGAACACTAACATCAACATTAAACCAATAAACCCCGCAAATTTAACATCAACATTACACTTCAATTCTCTCTATATAATTTTTTTACTTTAACTTTAAAATAGCATCAACACCAACATGAACATCAACATTAATATTAAACACTATTCGTTAACATTAAACCAAAATTTACACCAACATGAACATTATCATTAAACATTTAAAATGGTACATATGTTGCCTAAAAACTACCTAGAACACATTCTACAAACCATATAAATTTAACAAAACCCAATCAGTATTAACTTATTCCCAATAACATCCTTATTTAACCAACAAGAAGCATAGTAACATAAAAATAATTACAACCGGACAACCAACATGATTGTTACATTAAGAATGTTTCTTCGCTCTATCTTCATTACCACTATCAATCTTCTCTCTTAGAATCGATTTTCTTTAAACAAA